TCTCTATAAGCTCCCTAATAAAAGTCAATAGTATTATCTAATCAATAGTAATATAACTTTTACTTCGGCGCCCCACGTTTTTGATCGCTTATAGTAGAGTGATCGCTTGCATTATTGTGATGTATAGTATTTATTTTCTACTTTTTAGTTCAATCAGAAAACGTGGGTTTTTTAAAACTTTTTTAATGATTATTATTACATCTTATTTTCTACACATTACAAATGTCATGTGTGATTTATTTTTTTTAATAAAATTTCCAAACATTGTCACTCGTGTAATTGCTTACTTACTTTTGCTAGCCCACTGGCCAAAATCCCACCCTGGTCGGCGTGGTCACTCTGAGTTCAGCAGGCCTATACTATAGTATAGTCATAGAATTAAAACAAGTTCTATTTGAGATTGTCGATGTCATTTCCCCCCCCCCCCCCCCCCATTTCAAGCAAAAACAAACCTGCTTTTCCCCCCCCCCCCCATTTCAAGCAAAAACAAACCTGCTTTTCATTTATTTTTTTGTAAGTTCACATACGTTTATTAACTTAGATCTACTACCACACATGCTAGATAGCGCTAAAAACAATTTACTAAACAACAGTGAGATTTAGCGAGATCTAGTAGGACTATCATCTGACCTACTGCTGACACTGTATTGTCCTTCTACAAGTACTAGTTCCAGATTCACTAAGATTCTATTCTTTTTTGTATTTTTAACCTGTGCTACATTGGTATTGAAATAAAACATTTTAAGTTTATGTCAAAATTGAATTGCTTAGACAAAAAAATCAAGTCGTCCTGATATGTAATTTTAGATCACATTCAACCTACGAAATAAATTTAGTAGGCTGCAGAACATTCCTCGCAAATACAGCCTATTAGTTTCTGTTTCAAGACCTGTCTTGATTGTGTTATTTTTTTACTTTCTCGTATACAGAGTATAGAGAAAGTATTGTAATCATGCACAAAAATAACATGACATTTTGACAGTTTTCAGTTTTACTCCTCAGTCCTTCATCACATCCAGGATATAGTGGACTTATTTTAATCAGGCAAAAATTACAAATCCAGATTTATCAAAATTTTAGCGTTTTATGGAGTTGTAAAAACTGGATAATCCAATTCTGTCCATGTGTCTGTGTGTTAACACGATATTTTGAGTACCGTTACTTCTAGGTTGATGAAATTTCATATATAAGTATTTTATAAAAATTGTAGATCCGTATCAACTTTTGAGCGATTTCCAATAACCGAAAGTGGTACTTTTTCTACTTTTAACAAAAGCCTATAACTTGAGTACTATTTCAGATAGATAAATAAAATTTCACATGTAAGTAAAACATCTAATTCTCTGCATTCTATCAAATTTTGAGTAATTTCCGTCGACTGGAAGTAGTAATTTACGGTATTTCAGATTTCTCAAAAAACTAATGTAAATTTATAGAGTACTAATAATATTGCGCACTATTATGCACATTTTATTTGGCGTTCACTTGGTGTGCAATTCTTTTTCCACGAGATTTTATTCTATTTTAAAAACTTTAAGTATTTAGAATGGATTAAAAATCATCATATCCTGAGTTCCCATCCCCTGATGTTTTATATAGGAATATTCGAGAAAGTTTTGGGGAGATCACTCGAGGTTTATTTTTGTTATTGATGCAAATGGCATTAATATCATTTTTTAATGCATTAGATTTAACTTAGGGTTAGGCTTAGAGGTTAAGGTTGGACTTTAAGGTTAGGCTTATGGGCTAGGCCGTTAGGTTAAAGGTGTAAGGGATAGTCTAAGAAAATAAAAGCAAGGCATTAAGAGCAGTTTATTTCCTCTCAAACAGAAGAGGATAAACATATCCTCTTGTGTGATGATCTAAGCATGTTGAGTATTTCCTCTATCACAGAGGCCTAGCAAGGGCGGGGCGGGGTGCAGACCACACCGGGTGACACCATTTAGGGGGGTGACACCAAGGCAAAAAAATTGCAAAATGTACAAAAGAAAAATGATTTTTACCAGTTCTTATAATGATCAATTAAAGTAAAATATTCTTTTTAGTACAAACCGACAATTATTACAAGAGGATGGGGGCAACATCATGATGTCAAATTGCTAAGTATTAAGAAAACAATACTTAATCCAACTGTTTTCTTAACCATCATTGCTATTAAGTCTGTAGTGATTAAAGTGTATGTGGCATACATTTTAATTTTAGCCCTATGTAGGCCAACACACTTTTATGTGTATGTATATATATATATATATGTGAGTGACACCCAACCTATCGACGCCACTGCTCTATCATTCACCAAAATGAGCACTACCGCCTAGTTTAAATCTTAAACCAACATAAACTCCAATCTACTGTAGCTATTAGGCCTATAAATATATTTAAAAGTTTGAAATCAATTTGAATTAACATTTAAAATATTTTATCCTCAGTTCATTTATAAGAAGCAGGGCAGCATGGGAGAGGCAACATGTGATTTAGATATACAGTCAGAGGAATTAACCAAATTTTCATATTCTGAAGATGTGAAGCCAGAGCTATCTACAGTATTTTCATCTTCTGCTGACATAAAAACAGAAGTGTCCACAATTTTGACTTTCCATGATAGGAAACCAAACATGTCATTTATAACTTCACAGGATTTTAAAACCAATGTTCCACCAGAATTTTTATCTTCTAAAGAAACAAAAACAAAAAATACAACATTTTCATCCTTAGATGATGTAAAACACAATATGACATTTATAACTTCTCAAGATTTAACAACAGGATTTTTAATTAATAATGATATGGAACCTACTGTATCAGCAATATGTACAGGATCTGAAGATATAAAATCAGAATCAGCAATGTTATCAACTAGCGAAGATATAAAATCAGAATTAGCAATATTATTAGCTAGCGAAGATATGAAATTAGAATTAGCGACGTTATCAAGAAGTGAAGACATAAAACCAGATTTATGGACATTTTTAGATTTTGAGGATAAACCACAAAAAGGACTAGAAGAAAAGCTAAAACTTTCTGAAGATAAAACATTTGTTTCTGTTGATCATCATGAACAGTTTTTTCAAAGATCTAACTTGAATAAACATAAACAAGCTCAAGTAGGGGAGCGGCCTCTTCAATGTGATGATTATCATAAAAGGTTTTCAGACAGTTCTAGTTTAAGAAAACATAAAAAAGTTAATTCAGGAGATAAGTTACATGAATGTGATCTTTGTCATAAAAAGTTTTCACTCCGTTCTAATTTAAGTAGGCACAAAAAAATTCATTTAGTGGTTAAACCTTATGAATGTGATGATTGTCATAAAAGGTTTTCAAACATTTCTAGTTTAAGAAACCATAAAAGAATTCATTTAATGTTTTTTAAGCGTTATGAATGTGATCTTTGTCATAAAAAGTTTTCATACAGTTCTACTCTAAGAATACACATAAAAATTCATTTAGGGGTTATGCCTTACAAATGTGATGTTTGTCATAAAACGTTTGCATGCAGTTCTAGTTTAAATAAACATAAGAAAGTCCATTTAATGGTTAAGCCTTATGAATGTGATGTTTGTCATAAAAGGTTTGCAGACAGTTCTACACTAAGCAAACACAAAAAAATTCATTTAGGGGTTAAGCCTTATGAATGTGATGTTTGTCATAAAAAGTTTGCAGAAAATTCTACTCTAAGAATACACATTAAAATTCATTTAGGGGTTAAGCCTTACGAATGTGATGTTTGTCATAAAAAGTTTGCATGCAGTTCTAGTTTAAATAAACATAACAGAGTCCATTTAATGGTTAAGCCTTATGAATGTGATGTTTGTCATAAAAGGTTTTCAGACAGTTCCTCACTAAGCAAACACAAAAAAATTCATTTAATGGTTAAGCCTTATGAATGTGATGTTTGTCATAAAAGGTTTTCAGACAGCTCTTATTTTAATAGACACAAAATAATTCATTCAGCAGATAATCCGTATGAATGTGATGTTTGTCATAAAAGGTTTTCAGGCAGTTCTAATTTTAATAGACACAAAAAAATTCATTCAGCAGATAATTCTGATAATCCGTATGAGTGTGGTGTTTGTCATAAAAAGTTTTCAAACATTTATGTTCTTAACCAACACAAAAATATTCATATAGAAATTAAGCCTTATAAATGTGATCTGTGTCATAAAAGTTTTTCATACAGTTCTTCTCTAAGCCTACACAAAAATATTCATTTGGAAGTTAAGCCTTATGAATGTGATCTTTGTCATAAAAGGTTTTCATACAGTTCTAAGCTAAGCCAACACAAAAATATTCATTTGGAAGTTCAGCCTTATGAATGTGATGTTTGTCATAAAAGGTTTTCAGACAGTTCTAGTTTAAGTAAACATAAAAAAGCTCATTCAGGAGATAAGCCACATGAATGTGATGTTTGTCATAAAAAGTTTTCATACAGTTCTAGTTTAAGAAACCATAAAAGAATTCATTTAATGTTTTTTAAGCGTTATGAATGTGATCTTTGTCATAAAAAGTTTTCATACAGTTCTACTCTAAGTAGTCTAAGAATACACCTAAAAATTCATTTAGGGGTTATGCCTTACGAATGTGATGTTTGTCATAAAAAGTATTCACACAGTTCTAGTTTAAATAAACATAAGAAAGTCCATTTAATGGTTAAGCCTTATGAATGTGATGTTTGTCATAAAAGGTTTGCAGACAGTTCTACACTAAGCAAACACAAAAAAATTCATTTAATGGTTAAGCCTTATGAATGTGATGTTTGTCATAAAAAGTTTGCAGAAAATTCTACTCTAAGAATACACATTAAAATTCATTTAGGGGTTAAGCCTTACGAATGTGATGTTTGTCATAAAAAGTTTGCATGCAGTTCTAGTTTAAGTAGACATAAGAAAGTCCATTTAATGGTTAAGCCTTATGAATGTGATGTTTGTCATAAAAGGTTTTCAGACAGCTCTTATTTTAATAGACACAAAATAATTCATTCAGCAGATAATCCGTATGAATGTGATGTTTGTCATAAAAGGTTTTCAGGCAGTTCTCATTTTAATAGACACAAAAAAATTCATTCAGCACATAATTCTGATAATCCGTATGAATTTGGTGTTTGTAATAAAATGTAATAAAAAGTTTTCATACATTTCTGTTCTTAACCAACACAAAAATATTCATATAGATATTAAGCCTTATAAATGTGATCTTTGTCATAAAAGTTTTTCACACAGTTCTTATCTAAGCCAACACAAAATTATTCATTTGGAAGTTAAGCCTTATGAATGTGATGTTTGTCATAAAAGGTTTTCAGACAGTTCTAGTTTAAGAAACCATAAAAAAATTCATTTAATGTTTTTTAAGCGTTATGAATGTGATCTTTGTCATAAAAAGTTTTCATACAGTTCTACTCTAAAAATACACATAAAAATTCATTTAGGGGTTAAGCCTTAAAAATGTGATGTTTGTCATAAAAAGTTTTCAAACAGTTCTAATTTTAATAGACACAAAAGAATTCATTCAGCAGATCATTCATATGAATGATTTTTTTTCATTAAAGTTTTCATATAGTTCTTCTCTAAGCAAACACACAAAAAATTGGTTAAGCCTTAAGAATGTCATAACTTTGTCATAAAGGGTTTTCACTTTGTTCATTCAGGAGATAAATTCTATAAATCTGATGTTGGTCATAAAAACTTTACCCAAATAGTGTATGATATTTTTTAAATTGTTGAAGCACCAAATGAATAGACATTCTAATCTTCAATTCATTCATGATCTGTATATATTTATAATAGGATAGCATGTAAGCACCAAATGAATAGACATTCTAATCTTCAATTCATTCATGATCTGTATATATATTTATAATAGGATAGCATGTAAGCACCAAATGAATAGACATTCTAATCTTCAATTCATTCATTATCTGTATATATTTATAATAGGATAGCATGTTTTAGTTCATCTTCTAGGACACTGGTGTATATTTTCGTATATTATATGCAAATACAGCTAAATTGATGTTCATTTGCATATATTTTAATGAAAATAAAAGATTATAGCAGACTATTATTAATAAACTATTATATTAAAATAACCTAATTAGACCATTCTTGTGGCTGAACATTTATAGTTGATCTTTTCTTTGGTCTCAGTCTGAGAAGTGTAAGTGGGGTCATTCCCTAAAACAACTATCAGTTTCTAATGCTTGACACTTTCTTTTCTATTTGCAAACAGTAACACCACACACAATGTGCAAATTAAAAGGCAATAAAGACAAAAAAGACTAATGCTGTATTGGTTATGTTCTGACATTTTGGTATCCTATTTCTAGCATAATCTATGCTTTGTTGTTTTTTCTTTTGTTTTCTTTATTTTTAAAAACACTAATTTTAATGAAAATGTTGCTGTAGGATTGTAACAAGAAATAAAAATTTCTAACTAAATGTTTTTTTTAGTGATTTTCTGACAATGTCTGTATTCTAACATTATAAAATTCCAATTAGACCATAGTGTGTTACAGTGTATGTGGCATATATTTTATATACATCCATCTGTATTATTAACAGACTATATATAAACATTGTTACTGTTAAGTATGCAGTGATTAAAACTTATACTTATACACTCATACACACCACTGGGGTGACACTCAACTAAGCCACGCCACTGCCTATAGGCTATTAAATTTTCCAAGACCACTAACGCATATTATATCCATAATAAGTTATTTGTTTCCTTAGCCTATAGGCCTATAACATTTTCCAAGACCACTACCACATAAAAAATTATGTTGTTTGTTACATAAGCCCACAAGTTTTAATTCTGTATGTATGTAACCAAGGATTACAAAAGCATATAAGAAAAAATAATACTTCCATTGCCTCAAGTGTTAAATGCTGATTACTAAACACACATGTTATGGTTCTTTACAAATAAGGTTCTCACAGAGGCCAGTGCAGGGCCTGGCCGTGACGGCTAGTATAAAAATAGAAGTCGATTGCGGTTTCTTAAATGAATGAAAGAAGACTACATCACATGGTGAAGGGAAAAAAAACACAGGGAAAAAGTCTCAGTTTTTGCTAGGAAAAAAAGTCACGGGTAAAAATACACAAAGGAAAAGTGTTATTGGAAAAAAAAGTCACAGAAATAAAGTCACAGAAGAAAAGTCACAAAAATGCTTTTGATTTAATTGTTGAGAATTGAAAAATTGCGGGTGTTTATTCGTGTGGGTTGTTTTTGTTTTGGTAGCATATTTATCAACGTAAAAGTATTATGGTTTATACCAATAATACCTAAAAAGAATATGGCGTAATTAATACAGAAACCTCAACTTTTGTTACGTATTTAGTTAAATAAGCGGTAGAAAAATTAATTGCAAAATAAATTTTGCTACATCATTGTGTTTTCAATTTTTATTTTTGCCGTTGGCCATTCGTTTGTCGGCTTCCCCTCAGTCGGCCTTTTCCCGTCCCTATTGTTTTTTTTTTTTTTTTTTTTTTTTTGAGGTTTTGCGTCTAAGCCAGCCTTTGTACTGTGTCGGCTTTCTGTGTTGATCCTATGCTTAGTTACGTAATGAGAATGATAAATGTGATCAGAAAAGGTGGTTGCTGTGTTAATGTCACAAATCTACTTGCTATGTTAATGTCACAACTCTACTTGCTATGTTAATGTCACAACTCTACTTACTATGTTAATGTCACAACTCTACTTGCTGTGTTAATGTCACAACTCTACTTGCTATGTTAATGTCACAATTCTACTTGCTATGTTAATGTCACAACTCTACTTGCTATGCTAATGTCACAACTCTACTTACTATGTTAATGTCACAACTCTACTTGATGTGTTAATGCCACAATTCTACTTGCTGTATTAATGTCACAACTCTACTTGCTATGTTAATGTCACAACTCTACTTGCTATGTTGAACCGGACAAAAATGTTTGCTATGTTTAAACGGACAAAAATTTTCGGAGAGAGGACACGCTATTAAAAGTTTAAAAATTCCATTATATATAAATTATATATAAATTCCATTTCGTTCAAGGGCGGTAGACTTTCTTCGAAGAGATGCCTGAAAGAAACTCTGATTAAGACGAAGGTGCAACACTTTTAATAATATTTCCATTTTTTTTTACCAGTTACGCACATATGTGGGTCAGGATTAGGTTTATGGTTAGTTGACGTCACACCTCAGCCTACAACCCCCCCAATCACAAAATGACGGACCCGACCCCCTCCCCCCTAGCCAGTAAAACGTAACTACGACAGTTAAATAAACATAGTTCCCCACCCTCTAAATAAGAAACCCTGCAGTAATCCATGTTTTAAAATGTTGGCAGAAGTGAGGACTACTAACAAAAGATGAAGCTAGGTAATCTTGCTGAAGTTTAGCGATTGTTTATATTTTATTTACAGCTTTTTAAAAATGTGCACATTTTAGCGATTATATGGAAATTTTTACAGCTTTTTAAAAAATTTCACATTTTAGGAATTGTCGAGAAATATTAAGGCTTGCATCTGTTTTTTTTTTAAATCACATTTCTGTTATTGTTAACAAATGTTCACATCTTTTCAAAATTTGCACTTTATGTTGAAAATGTCTCCAATCAATTTCTGTATCCTATAGATCTAGCGATTTGCTATGAATTTGCAGCAATCAACCGAGCTAGCAAAAGATTTCAACACTTAACAGTAATAAATAACAGCTTGTATTACTTGGTTTTCATAGCTGTTCATATTGTCGATTTCCTTCTAAGGGGAAACAACTCTATTAATACTAAATACTTTAAAATGTAATCTTGGCTTAACCCTTCTTTTTATTTGAGACCATGTGTGAGTAAAGGGTCGAGGGAGGTGAGGTTAAGGGGAGCACGAATGAGGGATATATATATATAATATATATATATATATATATATATATATATATATATATATATATATATATATATATATATATATATACTACAAAAGTTAATTTTCTTTTATCCATAACATTCAGAAATATCTTTAGCGTAGACAACGGGGCGTGGTTACTGCTGTTTGGTCATTGTTGGATATGGAACTGACTGCACTCTCTTTTTAAATCCCGAGTTAACAGGAGCTGATACTCTACTTCATCTGTACTACTGACCACCATCACATGCGTAAGCTAAGTAGATATATAATCAGATAGGCAATGGATTGGAATCCTCAAAGAAAGTGGGAAGTAGATAGGCTAAAACGGTACATGGAGCTTTGACCCAGGGGCGTAGCGAGGGGGGGGGGGGGCAGTGGCGTGCAGACCTATGTAGATGCCCGGGGCAAACTCAAGCGGAAGATGCCCCCATAAATACGTATATATATATATATATATATATATATATATATATATATATATATATATATATATATATATATATATATATTTAAAAAATTGTACTTATCTTAATTGAGATGAAAACGTTGACTACAGCCAGCTAAATCCAAATGGAGTAAATGGTTGGAACTTGGGGGGGGGGGGGGGGGGGGGGAGGGGTTGGAAAGGGGGGAGACAATTGCGGGACGTGTCGTGGTGGGGAGGGGGGGGGGGCTGTGATGCACTACAAAAGAGTCTCATCCGGTATTGTATTACCACCCGGGACCGCAGGGACAAAAACGCTGTCCGTGTCTACAATTAGGGCGTCAGACACGCCTTTATTTATGGGATGTTTCTCTCTTGGCCTGTTTAGGAATTCCTATAGTGTAACTAATACAGGTGAGAGTGTGCATTGAACTAGAGATGTTTCAGATTTTTTCTCTAAACCACTTGGTCAAAACGTCAACTCTTTAAAGAGATGGGTTATGCTAGATACTCTCAAAGTATCTGAACCTTGAATATAACAGAAGTGTACCTTGTTTGGCTAAAGCTGCCAGCCCTAAAAAAAACAACACTTCTACATCGGACTGTGTTTAAAAATCCACTACGCTATGTCAGACCCTTAATTTAGCTGTTAATTAAATTGTTCTTCTGGCTGCCTCTTTAAATTAAGCCATAGGCTATTAACCTCTTTTTGAAGTTGATATTTCAATTTGGAAGGATAAGCCTTTTGATACAAATCATTTAGTTTAGCATATTTCGCGGTGTTTTGACTAGCCATTATTTCGCACACTTGTAGTGGCATTGACACTGTTATATTACTGAGTCCAACGTTGATGCTAGTGTGTATTAACGCCCCCCCTCCTGTCCCACACCTGAACAAGGACAGCGTGCTATGCCCCCCCCCCCCCTCCACCCCTCTCCCGTCTCACAACTGAACTGGGATGACCTAGAGAAGTGCAGGCTAGGGGCAATGCAGGTCGCCTGGTATTTGACATGGGATGCACATGTGGGGAAACAGGTAATTGGATCCTATTGTATTCGAGGTTAAGCCAGGGCATAGACCCAAGCTGGGTGGTGGGCCAGAGAGATAGGACAGATGAGCTTTAGCTTCGCAAGGAAATATTTTTCTTTCACACTACCAAAAATAATGTTAGATTTAATGTGTGGACGTCCACATTGGGCCAACCCCTCCCCCTGTCCACACGCGTCCACAAAAGGCAATTTTTTTCGGACCCCCCCCCCCCCCCCCCCCCAAGTGTGGACGTCATAAATGGATGACCCCTAATTAAGAAGTGTGAGACTTAAGGACAACTTTAGAATGAAGTTAACTCGGCCCGGCCCAGTGTATCAAAACAGTACGGACTTGAAAGTTTGTATTTAACCGTACACAAAAATCCAAATGGCCATGAATAAAGAATATCATTAGAATTAAAAAAAACCAATAGGCTGTGTGCTTAATCAGTCTACGAATGCCGTTACGTCCATCATAATAAATAAGGATGCCCTACAAACATTATGCAATGAATAGAAACATAATAAAGATGCCCGATAAAATATAAAGCGAACAAGGGCATAATTACTGTAGGGATGCCCTTCAGACATTCAATAATGAATATAAGCATAATAAATATCCGATAATATATAAACGAATATGGGCATAATTGCTGTAATTATATAAATACAAACGTGAATACAAGTAAATTACTTTAAAGATGCCCTGATGATATATAAAATGTATGCAGGCATAATTACTGTTTGGTGCCCTTCAAAAGTATTATGATGAATATAAGCAAATTACATTAAAGATGCCCCTACAGTGTGTAAATTATAATCATGGGCTTTAATACTCTATGGATGACCACAAAGTATAAAATGAGTATGGGCGTGTTCTCTAAAAGATGCCCCTACAGTGTGTAAATTATAATCATGGGCTTTAATACTCTATTGATGACCACAAGTGTATAAAATGATTATGGGCGTGTTCTCTAAAAGATGCCCCTACAGTGTGTAAATTATAATCATGGGCTTTAATACTCTATTGATGACCACAAGTGTATAAAATGAGTATGGGCGTGTTCTCTAAAAGATGCCC